TAGGGACGTATTTTGAATAATTAATAATAAAAATTCTGAATATCACATGGAAAATTGATTTGTAACTGAAGTTCGGATACTTTTGGGACAGACCTTGTATGTGTATCATGACTAAAAAACCATCGTCATCTCCAAAAATGTTGCCCTGCACTATAGTGGACATCATGCGTGAAAGGGTTAACATGCGCAAGCAGTCTCATCCAATGATTAAATTTGTTTTGCATTTGCTTAACCAGTAGCCTATTTCCATGATGGAACAAACAGCAATAGACAAAGCAGCCAACTTGATACGACTCTGATCGATTGGTTCAAATTGAATCAAAGAGATCCAGCTGCGCATCAGTGCATTTACACTGACATTTCTTGCCACTATGTGTTTGACAAAGAATACAAGTGGAAGTCGAGACAATAATGCAAGGCAATTGGTCCAATTTACTCAGTAAACCTGTCAAACGCTGAGAGGTACTATATGTACTTGCTGCTTCTCAATGTCCGTGGGGCGAAAAATGTTGGTGATTTGAGGACGGTTCATGGCGTTCTTTGTCTCTCATTCCAAAAAGCTGCAAGTAAAATAAATTTATTTGCAGATGACTCATAGTGGGAAAAGGCACTTTCGGAGACTGTGACCTTTCAAATGCCATGTCAGCTTCGTCACGTCTTAGCATCGATATATATCCTATGTCGCATTTTCAAAAGCATCAAACAAGGACAGTATTAAAGTCAACATGTTCAACATAGAGAAATATTGTACTCTTTAAAGGATCCAACAAGGTATTCGCTGTTAACTATGTATAAAAAGAGATCCTTTGATTTTTTACTTCTAGGGGACTAACTCCTGGCCTTGGTCTACGGTTCAAACATTGGGCATGAGCCTTGGGGACAGTTCCCAAATGTGCTCAATCAGAATAACTTTTCATCGAGGTACGAGTTTTCTCTAGCAATCCCCATCCAGACCGCAAAGTCAAAGGTCACTAAACACCCTGTGTGTACACGGGCTTTCGACCGATTAACAAACATGACGACCAGCAGATGTATGTTTGACCGAATTTGATCCGATGAACCCCTCCTTGGTTTCTCAGCTGATTTTCCTCAACGATAACTCATTCGTTTTCTAATTATTTTTAGATGTGCAAACCTACTTTATATTTTTTTCCAAAGCTGACCTTTGACCTGACCCGGATGACCTTAAATATTAATTTCAGCAGTTTTAATTTGTTTTTACATTGCAAAAATGCTGAGATTTGATCCTGCTGTGGTCAATCTGAGTTGATAGTGCACTGGCACCATCTCTGTACAGTCTAGAAAACTACTTCAAAACGACACCAGTTTTCTACACTTTACATCTCATTGAAACTCACATTTCTGCTGAGTTGTACTTAGGAATGTTCGTCGTTCTCATCACCTATTATCATATCGGTTATCGGCATAAACCCACGTTTTCTTTAAGTTTTTTTCCTGACTTTTTCTTGGGGAACAGATGAGAAACGAAAAGATTTCATGACAACATGTGAGACAACACCAGGTTGAATATGTTGCTTAACCTATACTTTATTCAAGGGTACATTTTGTTTCTAAATTGTAAATTTAGGCTTGGGTGCCACAGATATTCTATTCATTCTGCCCAACAACTTTGGGTCAACATTGACAAAAAATTCAAACGTTGAGCCATTATTCAAGGAATGAATTGTGTCACTCAATTATTAAAATCTAGTTCTGATCTAGTAAATGAATTTACTCGGATGGACCCTTCCTTGGTATAATTGCATACATTAGAGTACTCTCAAGTTCTTATCAATATTGGTGCGCGTACTGGCTCACATAAAGGAGGGGTTACCCAAACGTTGAAATGTGGCATGATAGGCACGACGTGACTCATGATCCTATTTTCAACGTTGAGCAGTGTTTATTTCCAACGTTGCGGCAACATTGAATCCACCATTTACCCGCCGTTGTGGAAACATTTCTATGTTGAAAAGTCAATCTTCAGTCAAACTTGATCAGACGGTGCGCCGAATAGTAGGTTTTCTAATTTAAAAATATGCATAAATAGGATACAGCTACGACTGAAATTGCGAGCATATTGTGCATGCACATGTCTGTCTGATGACGTTTTAGTTCTGTCCCCCTGGGCCCTTACGTGAATATACGTTTCTTTTTCATTTTAATTGTCAGTGTTTATTCGGACACATATTTTGACACAAGAGTAACAAACATAAGCGGTGACATTATTGTAAAGAGTTGTGTCATACGTCCCCACAGCACTTGTAAATCTTTAATATTGTTGAATATGAGCAAACTCCAAAATCAATTTAGATGAAGCAAAATTTGTCTCAAAATCGCTCAACGTGTTTCCAGCAGATACATGTATCTTTACGCCAGGCTATGCTAAGATTGCGTGTTTGCTACCAAACAGTAGGATAATCATGAGCAGAAAAAAACGATTTAAGAAGTTACTGATGGAACTTCTCAAGACGATTGCCGCAATGCTACATCCAATTTTGATGTTCGCAAGATAGTGCATAGGTCTACAAGAAGCCTATATGGAACATGTGCTGTAAAACGTTTTTAAAATTATATTGATGAAAGAAATTCAGCGTAAGTAAAACTTCATAGCATTAGCTACTTTGGCAGCTGAATATAGATATGGATATAACACATGAATATAACACTTTTAAAATAAATTCGTTTAGAAATTAAGTTCCCCAGTGACTTTTGGTGGACCTTTTTAATTTCTTAAGTTGACCTTATAAATCAGCTGTCATGATGCAGGTTCTATTCCAAAGGTTGTACTTTTCCTCTACTCAGCAATCTAGAAGCTTTTGATGCGCCACGTTTTCACACACACACAGACACACACACACTCTCTCCAAATCTCTGTGTTTAATTGAAGCAAACATCTTTCTGGAAAATGTGTCTTCCTTATCAAAAAAGGCACCCTAAGGGGACGTTGCTCAAGACTGAGTTCATTATTGAAATGAACACCTCAAATAATAATTTCACGGCAATTTTGGCTCTCCGTGTCTTCCCGTTTGACTAAAACTATGACTGCATTTGAAGCGCAAGGTTGCACCTGTAAACTTTGTAACGAGAGGATGCACAGCTCAAAGAACCGCTATGAGTAAAACCCAGACAATCTTCTCAACACCTCCTATTGGCCCAATATGACCTAATATGATCGAATACATGAGTCGTGTTGTCTTCCATTGAAAATGGTAGAGCTTTTTTATCACCCTATATCAGATGATCGACTAAATGGACAACAAAAAGTTTATGCAGCATTCTTACTAAAACGAGGAAGCATGCGTCCAATTACATAGTACATATTTTTTCTCATACTGTTATAAAATATTTCATCATCCATGTAATGCCGATCATAGAAGCACATGGTACACGAGAGAGTTCCTTTGGTAGAGAAAGTAACATTACCAAAGGAACGTTGCCAATTAATGTGATCGTTACTGTGTCTCTCAACAGGAGTAATGCAAGGGAATGTACATGGTGCAGCAAAAAAACCTCCCAGATTATAAAGGTTAACAAAAAAGGCATGGTAAATGCTATTCAAAATTTCATTACAAAATTGCAGATTTTGGTGTTAATGGCCCTTACTTTTTTGAGGAGGAAGGCCAAACGGTTACAGTAACTTCCCATCGGTATGTGGAGATGCTACGGAACTTCCTGGAACCGAAACTCACCGAACTTGGAAATCCGGATGTGTGGTTTCAACAGGATGGGGCCACCCCTCACACGGCGAGATCAATGGATGTTTTGAGAGAACTGTTTCCAAGGCACTTGATCTCGTTACGCGGTGACGTTGGGTGTCCTGCACGTTCACCCGATCTCGCCCCTTGTGACTTTTTTCTTTGGGGCCATCTGAAAGCTGAGGTCTACAAACATCGACCAAGATCCTTTAATGAACTGAAGGCTGCCATACGCCAAGAAATTGCAAGGATAACGCAGGAAATGACTCGCCGAGTGAAGCGAAACTTCAGATATCGACTACAAATGTGCATCGCGAATGAAGGCCACCATCTGGACGATATCATATTCAAAACCAATTGAAAATAAACTGTATTTCATGCACCTTTAGATTTTGTAATGAAATTTTGAATAACATTCACCATGCCTTTTTTTTTATTAACCTTTAAAATCTGGGAGGTTTTTTTGCCGCACCCTGTATAAATTGGTGTCGATATTCATTTCCGCTCGTAACCCCCTACCCCCAGTTGCGGCATTTCTTGCTCGATGTATTGATCCTATTTTTCGCGATTGACAGATTACAATCCTCTTCGGGAGCTACCGTCTCTTGCCATCCGGGGAATGAAGAAACTGGAGGAACTCCATTGCACGGGATGCGACTTGGGTCCCAAGCTTCTAGGAGGAATATTGAAATTCAGCAGTAATAACTTGAAGCTGGTTTTCCTCGATAATAATAAAATCTCCAACCTGGAACAGGGAGCAATAACAGGTATGGCATATCACCAACTCATCAGTCTTTAAAAGTGCAGCTTGGTGGAGAGTCCTTAAATAACTATGTCCGGAGAAAAATAAAAGGGAAAAGTCCTTTCCATGCCCTGTTACCATACTATGTGTCGTAGTCAGACCCTGAATTTCAATGGACATTTTGTTAACCGCAAAACTGCCAGGGGCAAGATAGAGTCAATTATATCAAGTGCATAATTGCAAACTCCTAAAGCCTAGCAAGCTGTCGAAACAAATTAATAACCATAAAATTGCGAGTTCTTGGGTTGCAAGAAGGAAACAAAGCCTTCAGCCTTATAAGTTCGCCTTTCTCGCTGGTGCAAAAATAAATTTGGAATCTCCAACAAACACAAAAGCCGTGCTTTCATGGGATTTACCGAAAAAGATGAATTTCTCCTAAACTCGACATCACGTTCGCTTTACATGTGCTAAGGTTCACTGTTCTATTTTTTCCCAATTTGCCATGACAAAAATAATATTTGGAAAACGTCACCCCAAAAACATGCCACACTGGATTTATCGGAAAATCAACATTATTTGTGAACTCAGTGTCTCAGTGGACATGTTAATGCCAAGTTTCGGTTTTCCATGTCGTTTGATTTGACAGAAGCGAAAATATTGTTTCAAAAAAGTTTTCCCTAGAATGTGTGCCCCCAGATACGTACGTCCTGAGTTGGAAGTTTTCTGTATTCAGCATCTCAATAGGTACTCGCTTTCCAAGTTTCAGGTTTATACTTTATATAGAAAATGATTAGAATTCATGTCAGTCCCTTAGATCGTCTATGCACTAAGGCACAAAAAGTCCCTGCCCTCCACATAAGCTAACTCTCTGGAAGCATTTCGATGGAAATTTCTAGAGAAATGTTTTGAGAACTTTCTAGAAAGTGAGGAAAGTTCTATATAGCTGAGAAAACTGCAAGTCGTCATGAACATTCTTCAGTTGGGAGAAATTGTCTTGAGAACGTAATTCAACTTCGCCGAGAACAAAGCGATCAACATGTTTACACTTCGAGAACAAAAGCCATCAATCTCCTGCCAGTACTCGTCTGACGTTGATCCCTATTCGGACCCTAAAGTACAATATTGCCAAGATCTAAGAACAACGCACGGTGGAGAAGAGACGCAATAATGACCGATTCTACAAGATCACCAATTGTCACGGAGGGGCCCTAATAGAGTATGTGAGTTTTTATTGCGATTATTTGGACTGTGGAATGATGTAAAACAGGAGAGACAGAAGTGGTTGTTCACCGAGACACATTGTATTCTCCATGCCAATCGCAAGCCGCACTTAGAGTGCCCCTGATATAAAAAAATCTAGACTATGTAATATTTTGTATATAAGAAGACTTGCTGATCAGAATAATGTCTCTTTTTTGCATGCGCATTACAGTGTATGTTTGTTTTCGTGGAAAAAGTGAGTTTAATTTTATGGAAGCTTTGTGCAAGGTTCCCGAAATCCATTTCAGGCCTTATGAAGGACACATTGCTTCAACTGAAAGAAAACAACATTACGGAATGGAGAGAAGCCTATTTTCGCCCCATGCTAGAGGACCTTTCACAGGGCGATGGGCATATTAACATAGAGGGTAAGTTGCTTGGGATTATATACTATATCAAAACAACTCGAACAACTACTTCTCTTCTGCAATCCGGCAATGTGCAGCATTTCCCTTCTCCCTAGGGAATCCCACACATTGTGGCTGCGCTGTGGCATGGCTTGTACTCAATCCAAGCTTCCTTCGTAATGTGAAAGGCGGATTTTGCCGAGATGGTACAATCTTTGAGGAACTTGAATGGGGTTTGTTTCAACATTTTTGTGTCGAAAGGAGCTCTGCATTTCAAGGAGAATTCTATGATTGGCCTACATGCCCCGATCCAAAGTCCATCTTTCCTTGCACCTGCAAGCAAGGGACTTTGGATTGCTCCTACGCGAAGACGAACAAAGAGGTCTCATCTGCGGCAGCACTCTCAGCATGGCCCTCTGTTCGACGAGAGTAAGTGAATATTCTTAGATCCATGGAGAGAACTGGAATTATTCTAGTTTTCCGGGTCGTTTCCTACGCTCGATAGGACTTAATCCTATGAATCCAAACTATTTGTACTTAAAATGTATTCAAATGTTGTGGAGGGAGAATAAGTAACAGTACATGGAAGGCAAAATAAGCCAAAATAAGCCAAATTTATTTTAAAATCTCCCGTTGAAATTCGTTCCCCCCGGGCATTTACTTCCTAAGCCTGAATTTCAGTCAAAAGTCAGTCTGAAAGCCTGATTGCCGGTCCGATGTGCTACCATTACACCATCGAACACCGCACATCCAGTTAGCCCTCTGAATCTCATCCTCATACGTCACAGTACATATTTTGAAAAAACGTTTCCCCTAAAGTGTGTACCCCCAGGGGATATACCTCCAAAGTCGGATTTTTTCTGAACTCTGCATCCCAAATGTACATGTGTAACAAGTTTCAGATGTCTAACCTTTCTAGAACATGGTTAGAATTAGCGTGTCAGTCAGTCATTCGTCATCGTCTATATCTAATACTAGCGAGTTTGTTTGCCCTTCGG